ACCTGCCGAGGATCCCACTGCAGAAGACGATGGATCCCGACAAGAGGCAGGCCAATCCAAAGAGCCTCTGGTAACTGTCATAGTGGATATATCGACCGTACCACTCACAGATGAGGAGAAAGCAGCCAATGATACCATGAGGGCAGATTTATCGGCTGACATTCGCGCTGATGAGGACATCGGCTCGAGCATCCTTGATAATATTATCGACCCGCCAGAGAACTTCCTCAACCACCCCGACTACGACCCAGAGGAGGGCACAAGATGGATCTTGCAATCTTACGACCACCGCATATACCGCTGGACGTCGGAGTTGTTGGTGGATTCACCTATGATAAAAGTGAAACAAATTATCGAGGTACACAATGGCAGAGACAAGATTGTGGTGGACCAGATGGAGTCATACTTACGATTTGACATACAATTTGAACCAAAACAGACATATACCACATGGATTACAATCATACCCACAAATGGGCACGCGACTTACCGATTTGCAGTGCAGCTAGTTTCTTCAAAAAGATAGTACACTACCTGGACCCAGAGGTCATTGAGGAATCGACCACAGGCATATTTCAATGGATTTCCAAAGTGTACCAAATCATATTGTTGGACAGCATCAAGGAGCTACGTGATTTTACAAATGATGCTACTTATCAGAACCATCCCGCCCTCAAGACGTTGCGCGATCTCTTCACACAGTGTATCCAGACACATGGCAATCCAGGCTTCCCCGTATGGCGGGAGCCGGTGGAGTCACCTGCCGCGCCTCATCAGGACGATCCAGGCGCTGAGCAGGATATTCCCCGGGACCCAGGCAGCGTTGCTTCCGCAGCTCCAGACCAAGAAACCATGGTATAGATCATAGCCGAGAAAAAGAGGATCGACCGCAAAATGGGCGACAATGAGGCCATCTTGCAGGCAGAGGCTAACCGCATCCGTCCAGACAACATACACCATGGTGTTACTGATTCTGCGGACAGCGACACCTCCGGGTACGCAGGACTACCGGGGGAAAGATTATCTAGGCTCGAGATAGAGGGGATGAGCCGATCGATCGCCTCCCGTCCGACCGCTGAGATCAATCGAGATGCCATGGATCAGATCGGCCGTGTTCTCGCCAGCGGACTCGACACCTGCTGGGGACCCCGTGAGCACCTTGCGATCTCCGGGGCCCCAGAGGAGATCCAGCATGATATCGCGCGATGTCGGAATTGCGATCGTTTCTTATCTCTCGGAATCGTCACAGGAGACGGTACAATTTGTGATATCTGCTGGCAGTATACTGTCGCTGTAGGTGCTACCGGCAAAGGTGGTGCCGCGGAGAGCGACCTGGCATACCTCCAGAAGTTGACCCACTGGATCAAGACGACCCCCTCCCAGGACGACATCACCAGGCATATGACAGATGGGGCGCATGTCCAGATGATGGGCAAGCGCTCCATGGCTGGTCAGGAAAAGGATACCTTGAGGAGATTCGCGAAGAGAGCTGCGGAGAGCTATCAGAAGTGGGTCGACGCAGGCTCCCCTCCTGCACACATGTGCAGGCTGGGCGAGACTGAGGACGACAGACCTCTATACCACCCCTTCGCCAATCTTGTTCAGCGTTTCCTGAATGATGCACGGTTCCACCACCAAATGACAGCCGCTCGTGTCAATAAAGGCGAGAAGGCTTACACTATTGAGGACATGCGCGACGCCTGTGATATTCGCGATCACAGCGTCAGGATTGGCCAAGCTGGTCGGAGGAAATGGTGGTTGAACACAGGCAGACTCGATAGAGGCACGAGGCAAGAGCGCGGACTTATCGCGATTGCCCTTCCCCGCGGGGATGGCACTCGCGAGAAAGTCACGCAGCGGAAGCTTGCCGTGCTTGCCTCCATCGAACCTGCCATGGGTTCTACTGATCAAAGGGGGGTTAGTTCAGGGATTAGAACCGACCCGATCGATCCTGATACATACTCATCACATTCTCATGGTGCCATGGGGCCACGCCAGCCGCGGCGCCCGCCGCCGCCGCGCCCTGCTCCTGGCGACGCTGCTGGACCCAGCGCCTCTGGCGCGCAGGACGACACGCCCGCTGGGCCGCGCGGCGCCGCCGCGCAGCGGCAGAGCGGCGATGACAGCCGCAGACCAACGACACCTCCCCGCGCCAAGAGGGCGCGCAGGACGGAGGACTACGCGACGTGGTGGAGCAAGAACCTAGAGGACAGCCAGTGGGGCCCCAGGTACTGGGGCTACTATGCCAACTGCTGGATGTACATCACGGACAACAACGACGAGTTCGTGTATGTCAGAGACCTGCTGCACAACGATAGGTTCCGCCACTGGACCCCGAGGACGCCCTGGGAGACCTGCGCGACGAGCTACATCGCGGAGGATGGCCACAGGGCGTGGGGCCAGAGGTTCTACGCGAGGGGCAACACGTAGTGTAGTCGGCCGCGAGACCCACCGCCCGATTGGCTCGAACTTCATATTTATACAAGTTCGCCTCGAGCGGCGAATAGCAGTATAATATTAGGCCACTTCACTATCCAAAAAATGTGGCCATACTTACACTTGCGAAAGCCAAGGCAACCTCCTAAGGAGCAACGCCGAGGGGAGTAACATATTGCAGAAATTGTGTATGCAGCTTTTCGTGTTTATCAACGCGACTTTACGTATGGCCATACGCATGTTGCTTTGAGGTTTAGACGTGTTTCTCAACGCGGTCGTGTTCATCAACACGACTCCCGAATACATTTTTATTGTTTATTATTTAGATGATGATAACATTGCGTTGAGAATGATCTGATCCCCAGCTCTCGATTGAGAGCCGGTGGCAACACCTGCCGCGCTCAGGCGCGGCAGCTTTTGATGGTGCTTTATCTCCTCCTCATCATCATCATCCTCATCATCCCTTTTGTTGTTCCCATTTTCTTTTTTATGCTGTTTTGTTTTCCATGTTTTTTTGATTTTGAGGCTCACGACGCCTGGCCAGGCGTTGTCTTGCTCTGGTTTGTGTTTGGCTTTGGGAAGGGAAGGAGAGGAAAGAAGAGGAGGATGCGGAGGGGAAGCAGAGGGGCTCACAGGACCTGGCCAGGCGGCGCTTTTCTTATATAGATACAGACGCGTATGATCTTTACTACGTATTATGTAAATGTCCCCGGCCTGGTTTCTCACGAACCTGGCCAGGCGTTTTTTTGTATGTTTGTTTGGTCTGGGTGCTCACAACACCTGGCCAGGCGTTGGTTTTCCGTTTCTTTTTTTCTGGTTTGGGTGTTCACTGCGTTTTTTTATGTGTTGTTCTGTTTTCTGTCGGGGGTGGACAGAACCCCCGACAGTGACACGTCGATTAGTGAATTGTTCGTTTTATGTTCTCGACATGGTGCCGTGGCCGTTATTTTCCAGGCTTGCGCCCGCCAGCTTTGGGCCTCAGGTCGTTTTCACTAAACCACGTTTTACTAAAGGGGGGTCTGTCCGTCCCCGAGTCTGTGGCCCGTCGAACCCTGTCTGGGGGAATGTGGCGCGCAGCCGCCGGACCAGATAAGCCAGAACAGCCAACGCGTGGCCAGGTTTGATGAGGGCCCGGACCAGAACGAACTAGAATCACCAACGCCTGGCCAGGATTCGTGAGCACCCAGACCAGAAAAAAAAAAAGAACAACCAACGCCTGGCCAGGTTTCGTGAGCCCCTCCTCCTTCCCCTCAGCGTCCTCCGCTTTTTCCTTTCCTTCTTCTTCTTCCTCAAGCCAAACAAATCAGAACAACCAACGCCTGGCCAGGTCTCCTGAGCTTCCAGACCAGACAAACCAGAACAACCGTCGCATGGCCAGGTTTCGTGAGCCCCTTTCCTTCCCCTCCGCATCCTTCTCGTCTTCCTCCCTCCCTGTCTCTTCATCCCTAAGGAAACAGGAGGGGAAGGAGGAGGAGAGGGAGGAGGAGGAGGCAGGGGGAGGAGGAAAAGAGAGTGAGGGAGGGATTTGTTTGATCTTTCCCTCTCTCTCTTTTTCACTTCAGCTCTCCCTTTCTCTCTCTCTGTCTCCCCTCTCTTTCTTTCTCTCGCCAAACTCGCAGCTTCTTGCTCCCAAAGCGCCAGAAGGACCCCGCACAGGGGGTTCCTTGACTGGTGTTTGTTGGCAGGGAATTTGGAGGAGGGGGCATGCATGGAGAGAATCAGGAGCAACAAAGGGGGGAGGACTTGACCAGGGTGGGGTGGCACACCATCCCCTATGGTGCGAGGCAGGCGACGACTTCCTTCGGCTGCGAAGCGCACGATCAGCAGGGTGCTAAAGACTACCTGAACCTCTTCTGGAGCGTGTTCTGACCAGAAGTTCGACGCGGATCCAGCCTTGGCGACGAGGGCTCCGTCCCCGGAGGCCGACAACATACGAACACGTCCAGAAACAATGGCGGCGGCGACGACACCGACGATGATGACGACGACAGTGGCGGCGACGAAGACAACGAACATTGCCTCCAGAGGCCTGTGGAGGTCTCCTGAGGTGTTCCGATGTCTTCGGAGGTGACGGCGGTGGTGGTGGCAGCGACGACGATTGCGGCGGCGACGACGGCGTCGAATTCCTTTCGGTTGTGAAGTTCGGGAGGGAGAGGAGGAGGAGGAGGAGGAGGAGGATGATAATGAGAGCAAGAGGAGTAGGAGAAGGAGGAGGAGGAGGTTTGAGGAGGAGGACCAGCAGCACGAGGAGGATGAGGAGGAGGAGGAGGATGAGGAGGAGGAGGAGGAGGAGAGGGAGGAGGAGGAGGAGGAGGAGGAGGAGGAGGAGGAGGAGGAGGAGGAGGGAGGAGGAGGGAGGAGGGAGGAGGAGGAGGGAGGAGGAGGAGCAGGAGGAGGAGGAGGAGGAGATGCAGGAGGAGGATGAGTAGGAGGATGGCGATGGGATGGAGCAAGACGACGACGACGGCGGCGGCGGCGGCGACGACGACGACGACGACGACGACGATTATGACGTCGACGGCGGCGGCGGCTGCGGCGATTCCCCTTTCGGCTGGGATGCGCAGGGGCCCCTCGCAGCGCAAGTGGCTTGGCCTGCTCGCCCGTCTCGCGGAGGGCGCCTCGCCGTTCGACCGGGCGGGCTTCTTCCCTCGAGGCGGCCGACGATGGCTTCAGGCGTCAGTGGCGGAGACGACGACGCAACGCCATAACAAGTCAGGGCGGAGGTTGCTTCGTCGTTTTCGGCCTCCAGGGGCTAATCGGGATGAAGAGCAGGCTTAACACGCCAGACACGTCAAACACAGTACGCGATAAAACACCAACCCCCAGGAGGGGGTCGAGAGCTCTCGGGACTCGTGCAACATAATCAAGACACCGGATGTCTGGGGTCGCCGTTGTTGTTGTTGCCCCCGTCGAAGGCCTTGGAAGGCCTTCGAAGGCGCCGGCGCCGGCAACAACGGCGGCAGCAGCAGCGACGTCGATGTCGACTACGGCGGCGACGGCCATGATGACCGCGTCGACGACGGCGACCGCGACGACGACGGTGGCGGCGTCGGCCACGACCATGGCGGCGACGACGTCGACGACTGCTGCGACGACGGCGACGACCGCGGCGGTCGCGGCGGAGTAGTGTCTTTTGATGGTTTCTGGCCCGTTCTGGGCTTCTGGAGCCCTCTGGAGGGCTTTCGGAGAGACCTCCTGGTGTCCTCCTGGGACGTGGAGACCTCCAGAGAGGATGATGAGTTTTTGTTTGGGGGCGGCACGGACGGGAGGCTCAAGACCGGCTGCCTCCCAAAAGCTGATGACGGCTGCTGACTGCCTCAAAATTGCGTCTGCCTCGACAGCCACTCCTCGAACACACAACTCCTCGACAGCCTGTCTTCGTCGTGGCGGCTGCCTCAGCAACGGTCTGGGGTGGGAGGCTTGTTTTGGTGACGGGGTCGGAGGCTCCGGGGCCCACGTGATGAACAGAGCACGGCGTCGTGAGGTCTGGGTCCCAGTGGTCGGCCCCCCCGCTACCTGTGGCGGGGTGTGGCCTGCTCGTGCGCTGCCCGTGGCTCACGGCGGCTGCGCCCTGCGTACAATGCGCCGCTCGTGGCGATGATGCCCCGCAGTCGACAGTGCCTCGAGGTCGATCGCGGATCTCCTCTGACCTGGTCTGTCCAGGATCGGCGGAGGTCCAGGTCAGGGGGTCTCCTGGGGTCCTTCCACTACGCGACAGCCACGTCCCATAGCTCTGCCCTGCGTTCGACGTCTCATAACCACGCAGCTGAGAGCGGGCCCTGCACGAGGAACCGAGGGAGGGAGGGAGAGAGAGAGAGAGGGGGGGAAAAAAAAAACGAGAGAGAGAGAGAGAAGAAACAACAAAAACACGCGAACGAGCTTGGCGCACACTCGCACACGCCCACTCACACACAGATAGGAGTGTACCTATACTATATGTATATATGTATACATCAGGGTGTAATGCATGACTTGCGCGCGCGCGGAGGGGATGATTTTGCTTAGTCTGCGAGCAAGTATTATTATTCCAATGGATTCCCGTGCGCGCGCGCCGGGGCTTGGTTTTCCTACTCTTCATGCATGTTTTTTTCAGCGCGCTTGCGCGAAGACCACTCTTTACTAGTGTCCGCGCATGATTTTCGCGTTCTGATATATTCTGATCTGCGCGCGCAGAGCCGTCGTTCTCCACTCGCAAATCATGTTTTTTGTGCATTCCCAGGGTATCTCATCATTTTTGATTATTTGGCGGTTGTCGGGCGGCGCCCATGGCCGTTTCGCATTGGTTTTTGGTTATTCGGCGGTTGTCGGGCGGCGCCCAATCTGGCCGTTTCGCATTGTGTTTTGATTATTCGGCGGTTGTCGGGCGGCGCCATTCTGGCCGTTGCGTATTGGTTTTTGATTACTCGGCGGTTGTCGGGCGGCGCCCAACATGGCCGTTTCGTATTGTTTTTGATTATTCTGCGGTTGTCGGCGGCGCCCACTGCAGTTTCGTATTGGTTTTTGATTACTCGGCGGTTGTCGGGCGGCGCCCATGGCCGTTTCGTGTTGGTTTTTGATTATTCGGTTTTTGTCGGGCAGCGCCCATGTCCGTTTCGCATTGGTTTTGATAATTCGACGGTTGTCGGGCGGCGCCCACTGCCGTTTCGCATTGGTTTCTGATTATTCGCCGGTTGTCGGGCGGCGCCCTTCTGGCCGATTTGGTTTTTTATTATTTGGCGGTTGTCGGGCGGCGCCCTTCTGGCCGCGTCGCATTGGTTTTTGATTATTCGGCGGTTGTCGGGCGGCGCCCACGGCCGTTTTGCATTGGTTTTTGATTACTCGGCGGTTGTCGGGCGGCGCCCATGGCCGTTTCGCATTGGTTTTTATTATTCGGCAGTTGCTGGGCGGCGCCCAACGTGGCCGTTTCGCATTAAGTTTTGATTATTCGCAGGTTGTCGGGCGGCGCCCTCCTGGCCGTCTCGCATTGGTTTTTGATTATTCCGCGTGTGTCGGGCGGCGCCCGTCTGGCCGTTTCGCATTGGTTGTTGATTATTCGGCTGTTGCCGGGCGGCGCCCAACATGGCCGTTTCGCATTGGTTTTTGATTATTCGGCGGTTGTCGGGCGGCGCCTATGGCCGTTTAGTATGAATCTTTAGGAATTCTTAAGAATCTTTAGGAATCCATTCCCAGAACACAATTCCCAGGCCATATTTTTAATGCCTGGAACCAACTGTAGGCCACTTCGTGTTCTTCGTGCTCCCAGAACACCATTCCCAGGCCACATTTTGAATGCCCGGAGCCAACTGTAGGCCACTTCGTGTTCTTCGTGTTCCCAGAACACCATTCCCAGGCCACATTTTGAATGCTTGGAGCCAACTGTAGGCCACTTCGTGTTCTTCGTGTTCCCAGAACGCAATTCCCAGGCCACATTTTGAATGCCTGGAGCCAAGTAGGCCACTTCGTGTTCTTCGTGTTCCCAGAACACAATTCCCAGGCCACATGTTGAATGCCCGGAGCCAACTGTAGGCCACTTCGTGTTCTCCGTGTTCCCGGAACACCATTCCTGTGCAATATTTTGAATGCCCGGAGCCAACTGTGGGCCACTTCGTGATCTTCGTGTCCCCAAAACACCAGTCTTGTGCCAAATTTGGAATGCCCGAGCTGAAGCAGGCTGAGGCCGAGGCAGGCTGAGGCCGAGGCAGGCTGAGGCTGAGGCTGAGGCAGGCTGAGGCTGAGGCTGACGCAGGCCGAGGCCGAGGCAGGCTGAGGCTGAGGCTGAGGCAGGCTGAGGCTGAGGCACGCTGAGACTGAGGCTGAGGCTGAGGCAGGCTGAGGCTGAGGCTGAGGCTGATGCAGGCTGAGTCTGAGAGGCTGAGGCTGAGGCCGAGGCAGGCTGAGGTTGAGGCTGAGGCAAGCCGAGGCAGGCTGAGGCTGAGGCTGAAGCTGAGGCAGGCTGAGGCTGAGGCTGTGGCTGAGGCTGAGGCAAGCTGCGGCTGAGGCAGGCTGAGGCTGAGGCTGATGCAGGCTGAGGCTGAGGCAGGCTGAGGCTGAGGCTGAGGCAGGCTGAGGCTGAGGCTGAGGCCGAGGCGGGCTGAGGCCGAGGCAAGCCGAGGCAGGCTGAGGCTGAGGCTGAGGCTGATGCTGAGGCAGGCTGAGGCTGAGACAGGCTGAGGCTGAGGCTGAGGCAGGCTCAGGCTGAGGCAGGCTGAGGCTGAGGCCGAGGCAGGCTCAGGCCGAGACAGGCTGGAGGCTGAGGCTGAGGCTGAGGATGAGGCCGAGGCAGGCCGAAGCTGAGACAAGGTGAGGCTGAATGGGGGGGGAAGGGGGGGGGGGAGGAGGGGAGGCTGAGGCAGGCTGAGGCCGAGGCAGGCTGAGGCCGAGGCTGAGGCTGAGGCTGAGGCTGAGGCTGAGGTTGAGGCAAGCCGAGGCAGGCTGAGGCTGAGGCTGAGGCTGAGGCAGGCTGAGGCTGAGGCTGAGGCAGGCTGAGGCTGAGGCCGAGGCAGGCTGAGGCAGGCCGAGGCTGAGGCTGAAACTGAGGCAGGCTGATGCATCCGTAGGAATCCGTAGGAATCCATAGGAATCCCTAGGAATCCTTAAGGATTCCGTAGGCATCCTTAGGAATGTGATCGTTCTTTTATTATTTTGTTTTGCTTTCGGCGGAACCCCCCGCCCCCCCCCCCCCGTAGAGAAGTTATGGGCTGATTTTGGCACCTGCTTCAGTCGATCGGACGAACTACGGGGGCCGGCGCCCCCCCCCCCCCGTAGAAACTCGAATCGTTGATGTGTGCAACTGTGCGAACTTTTTCCTGCTATTCTTCTGGAACCATAACGAAAGGGCTCAGGGGCGCCAGACCCGATCGCCAAAAAGCATGCCTCCGGTTGGGCCCTCCCCTGTTATGCCACCGACGGCCTTGTGGAATCATGAATATGTGATCCATAGTAATCCTGGCACAGCCCCGCACAATCACGCATAGCCTTGGCGCAGCCCCGCGCAGCCTCTGCGCGATTCCCCCATGGGGGGTCCCCCATAGGATTCCCTCATCGGCATCTCCCACAGGATTCCCCCATAGGCTTCCCCCATGGGCTTCCCCCATCGGATTCCCTCATAGGTCTCCCCCATAGGATTCCCCCATCGGATTCCCCCATTGGCCTCCCCCATCGGATTCCCCCATAGGCTTCCCCCATCGGATTCCCCCATAGGCTTCCCCCATGGGCTTCCCCCATCGGATTCCCCCATGGGATTCCCCCTTCGGATTCCCCCATTGGATTACCCCATTGGATTCCCCCACCATAGGCTTCCCCCATAAGGTTCCCTCATCGGTTCCCCCCATAGGCTTCCCCCATTAGATTCCCCCATCGGATTCACCCAGACGTTTCCCCCATAGGATTCCCCCATCGGATTCCCCCATAGGCTTCTTCCGTAGGATTCCCCCATAGGCGTCCCCCGCAGGACTCCCCCATCGGATTCCCGCATAGGCCTCCCCCATAAGATTCCCCCAAGGCGTCCCCCGCAGGACTCCCCCATCGGATTCCCGCATAGGCCTCCCCCATAAGATTCCCCCAAGGCTTCCCCCATAGGCTTCCCCATAGGATTCCCCCATAGGCCTCCTCCATCGGATCCCCCATCGGATTCCCGCGTAGGCTTCCCCATAGGACTCCTCATCGGATCACCCC